CACTAAAAGATTTAAGGGTGATTTACATTTTGTTTTTACTGATATGGTTCATGTAGCAACATTATTTATCTACCTTGAACTGTTTTATGATATTACAACCACAGACATTAAAATATTTATCAGGTTTTCATTGCATAAAGTAAGACAATATGACAAAATAGACTTTAATTACTAAGAAAAAGTTGTATGACTGTTTTGTGTTGATTTATCACGTAAATTATCTAGATAAGTCGCCAAAATATCTCATTACAATGTGACAAAAAGTGAGTATTTTCATAAGCCATCCATGGCTCTTTTGAATGTGCAACCCCTGCCTGTCCTTGCTGAGGCCTCTTTTCCATAATGAGGAGCTGGGGTTCATGAACGTTTGTCCTAAGATGAGGCTGTCTTTAAGCTTATAATTTAAGTGTTACTGTGCAACTGTCTTTTGACACTGTAACGATAAATGGTTCCATACAGATTGCCTTCAGACGCCCAAACAGAAGCAATTACATCCCCCCTCAGTAACGTATGCCTCCGTCAAGGTTGCTTGAATTTCTGACCTTGACCATGCTGAAGAATGGCTGTTTAATATTTGACGCTTGAAGATACTGTATAAGGTGGTAATAACTACACACAACCACAAAACGAAAGAGACTGTTAAAAATAAAAAGAACGGCTGAAATAATTTCATAGTGGCTTTTCTGTCTTGTCATTATTAATCAGTCCCAAATTTTTAAAGCTAAGACTTCCTTGTTTTTATTAAATAGATTAAGCTAATCAACTGATTTAATTGCTTCATTCCACTGTGTGTATCTGCAGCCTATATTAAATTAAAATAAAATAACACTGATGTCCAACTCATCTTGTAGTTGCTTGAGAACTCACAATCATTTTAGTCAAAATAATAATAATAATAATAATAATAATAATAATAATAAAAATAAATCTATCAATAATGTGGGAAATGATGCGGAGGATGGAGAGTGGAGAGCCAGAGTTAAAAAGCAATAAAGTATAATTAAAAAGTGTGGTAAATATGATTTTTATCAATATAAAACATAGCACACCTAAAAACAATTTAGAGGCAGTGTAAGCAGTCTTCAGAAATGAAGAGATTTTAAAATATTTTACATAGCTCTAATTACTTACAAACCAATTTTACTCTGATGTAGACTTTCTTTTCCTCAGGCAATTAAATTTTGCTCATAAAAATTCACTTTTAATTGAGGTCAGCTGCGTAACAGTATTGCCTCGAGACTGAAAAGGAAATATTATGGTGACAATGACATTAAGCAGAATTTAATAATGTGTCAAAATGAAAATGCCCTGTTGTCTTACAAAAGCTGTTCTTCTGTTCGTAGATGTCCTCCATCTTTCAGCTTCATGCTTGTTTGTCTCTATGACCATTAAATTAAAGTGTTATTTATACGACTGAGGAGGGCAAGAATTTGTCACTGCACTAAAAAGAGCGGTAACACTTTATTTGAAGGGGGGTGAATAAGACTGTCATGACACTGTCATAAACATAACACCTGTCATGAACATGAATAAGCCTTCATGAATATTTATGACTGCTGTCATAAAGTGTCATTTGGTAAAGTATGACACTTTTAATACAAAGTTGACATTATTCAAATGTCTTCGTTATGACAACTTGACATTAACCAAGAAATCATTACTGATATAAATTTGTTATAAAAGTATTACTGATTGCACTTTAAAAATTAGGTAACTTTATGTTATTAAAGGTTACGTTTAAACAGTAATGATTTCTTGGTTAATGTCAAGTTGTCATAACAAAGACATTTTGAATAATGTCAACTTTGTATTAAAAGTGTCATAATTTACCGAATGACGCTTTATGACAACAGTCATAAATATTCATGAAGGCTTATTCATGTTCATGACAGGTGTTATGACATGTTTATGACAGTGTCATGACAGTCTTATTCAACCCCCTTCAAATAAAGTGTTACCAAAAGAGCACCTACAATCACTCTGTGCTGTCTATTTTTTTTTTATTTTTTTTGTTTTAATTCAGCTGCATCCTCTCTACTCATGCTGACACCAAGGTGAAAATGTATTGTGCATTTCTCATTTTCTATCAAGTCATTTTTTAAACTAGGAAATAAATTGCAGAGCTCTGTGTAAAGAGAACATATTAATTCAGCTGTTGCTTAATTGCATCTGGGGTTTAAGCAACACCTCTTGTTCAATTTGCTTGTACAATTCCCTGCAAAGCCCTCAGCCTGATCCTAATTTACAAACCAAGCAGGTTTTTCTTTCTTTAAAGACACTGGATTTATGTTGGGATTAATAGAAAAGGAAAGAGGTAGCTTTGACTCTATTTCGCTGTCTCACACTGAGAGAGCATCTTTGTGCTACTTAAACTTTATAAAGTGCCAGTCAGAAGTTTAAGTACACTCATAACAGCCATAAATAAAATATCAATATGAGTATTTTCATATTTTTTTGAATGTATGTAGGCAGCTGCTAAATTAAGTCCAAAATAAATAAATCACCCAGTTGTTGTTGGTAATAATTATATGCTGTGTAATCATTTGGCCATGGAGAAAGTCACACATCAATGTGTTTTTGATATGTTTACATCAAAAACTATGTAAACATATCAGGCTAAAACCACCTGCAGGCCAGCACTGTGTCTTTACACATATCATTGTTATTAAATAAGTACATTGATTTATTTTTATGATAAACTTTACCTTAGCCTTACTTTAAACCCGACCCCTGACATCATCGATCCTCTTAAAACACACACACACATAAACACACACTTTCACCTGGAGGATGTTTTATGTGACATAACAGGTTTTATTAATTACATTGTATCACAACAGACTGGTCCACCTTCAGAAAAAAAAGGTCACATGATCATCATCATCATCACCATCATCATCATCTTCACCGTCATGACTAAATACTATATTATTATTTCCATCACTCAACTATAATCTGTTCAGCTTCTCTCTGGTGTGTATGTGTTCGTGCGTGTGTGTGTGTGTGTGGGAGGGAGCACTAATTACCCATTTGCAAAAACAAATACAAGTAGTTTGAATTTGCAATCTCTAAGCAGAATTGATATCAGTTTTTTGATAGTTGTGGATTCAGCAAAACATTTTAAATGCAGAAGAAAACCATAGAACAAGAAAAATAAAAATAACTATCTTTAAATCACAGGTTAGATCATCCCCTTTCTCTCCAAAAAAAAAGAAAAAGAAGAAAAAAAGCTGTTTTTATGCATTACATTCTTCTAGGTACTCCAGAGCATCCAAGCACAAAAGTAATCTGAGAGATGACCTTTGTGATATTTCAGCTCGATTAAATCAAAGTCTGATGTCACGGTTGTGTGAGAAAGAGAGTGGGGTGTGGGAGCATTAAATGTGATGTGGATCATAACATTTCTAAAGTTGTGAAGTTCATGTATTGTATTTGAAACGCACCCCACCGAGTCACAGAGTCTGGCCAAAAACACATTGAAGTAAGGCAACGGGGCAGGAAGATTTCTCTAGGTACCGTTGTTGATATGCTAGTGTGAAACCCAGGCTTTGATAAATCGAGGCATAAAAAAGGCTAATTTGAGTTTTTATTAAAAAAAAAGAGAGAGAACGACTGATTCTATTAATCGTAGCTGCCATAAAAACAGCCACATTTCCATGAGATAGTTTGCAGTTATTTATCATGAAATTGGCATACAGCAACAATAAATCAATTTCTGCTTCCTGTGTTGACATTATGACATTTGAGCTTGGATTTAGTCTGAATGCTGCAAACCAGCCAGTTTTTTACACACACACACACACACACACACACATACACACACTCACCGAAACTGAATAATCAAAAGCCGTCCAGCTTCACTGGGGTCACCGAATGTCTTTTTTTTTTATTTTTTTGTCTTGGCTGAGTCTCACCTACCCAACTAGCTTCCCCTTGATTCAAACATGAAAGAGTAAAACAGTTCAGTCTAAATACCAGTACAGTCTGGGACACACCAGTTAACAATGCTTATTTCTTCCAGCAGCTTATTCACACTTTTTTTTTTAACATAAATTCTTGTTCATTCCTCTTGCTGTTATTTTACAAAAAAAAATAAAATAAAATAAAAGAAAGGAAAAGGACAAAAGTAGCACTTCTAAGGACCGGAGGTTAAGACTATCACATACAGTATAGGCAGCATAGAAGAGGAAAAATTGGTTGAATAATCTATAATACAGTAGGTCACTTGATAAAGAGAGAGAGAGAGAGAGACGTAGAGAAGTCTGTGATTGTCAATCCCTTCTATCTGAGGTTTCCATTCACACAGCAGATGTTTTTACTTTTTCAGTTTTTTTTTCTTTCTGATCAGAGGCATTGATGCAAAGACTGTCGATCTGTGCAGACCAATCTCCTCCATCTCTCGCTGTCAAAACATCACCCCCGTCCAACGTCACGCAGTTCATTATTATTTAAAAAAAGGGGGAGAAACAAACACAGCAGGTAAGTGCAGAAACAGTGCTGGGAGCTGGGGGAACTGCTTCAGTGTACGCTACTCTTTTGACATCAGAAGTGTCCGTACGCACTGCATTTATTTTTCACAGTTTTTTTCAGCTTACACACCCTGCCCTCTGTTATTGCACAGAGATATTGTGTGTCGGTTTTTTTGTTTTGAGTGTGGTTGGTGTGCTTCAGCAGGGACGGATTTTTTTTTTTCTTTTTTCTTTTTTAACCCTGTTAGCATGCGCTGTCAATGCTGCAGCCATTAACCCTTGCAGTTATTCTGACAGGTGAGAATAATTTTGGCAAAATGTCAAACTCAATCGACATACGTGACAGAGTGGTGAGATATCCATCCCTGCTGCAGTGAACGGTGTCCGCGAGGACAGGCTCGGTTGTTACCAAGAAGGAACGGGATGTAAAAATACGGACACACTTCAGATTATCTTACACCTTTGTGTAAACATAATCCTTAAATTCAAATTCAGTTTGCAGTTGCAAAAAAAAAAAAGGCAACCCTAAAAATAAAAAGAAATGTACAAAAAGGTTTACAAGTTTATAAATTAGATAGCAGGAAATCAAATCCACAAACATCGATACCATCAAGTGCTGCAGTTAAATAACAAACAAAGACCTATTACTCCAAATAAAATCTCTACATCAAATCAAAGATGACCGTAAGTGACTTTTAAATATGCCTGTAAAGAGTAAAATATGCACAAGTAAAAATGCAAAAGCAAACGTTACATGTGTTTTCTTGCATGCATGGGAGCTGTATTTACAGTATGTCTGTAAGCTGGAGCAGAGCTGCAGGTGGAGTGAAGTGGTTCTGTTATCACAGGATGTGCGATGGATCGTTAAAGATTATTCTCAGAGTTTGTTAGTACATATGTATGAGGCGCGAGGCAGCAGGGTTTCTGCAAGTATCAGTGAGGTTATGCCAACACATTTCTGTAGTCTTTTCAAGTCCACTATGATTTAAAATTAAGATGTATATATATGAAAAACAACCAACAACAAACAAGTTAAATCTAACCTTGTCAACATAAATTGGTATTTTACTTTGGTGCCTTTGCACTTGCTAATAAACCTCAAATACCTTCCTACAGTGCATCGTAACCTTCATAAAAATGATTTCAAAGCTTCAGATATCAAACCAATTTTTATACAGCCGAGTGTGGACGCTTCAATAAAAAAGTAACTACGGTTCTGTTTCTGGCCTAACGACTTTTTGGCAAACGGCAACAAATTAGTTCACTGTTGATAAAACAAAAACAAAACAAAACAATCTCTTTAATTCATCCCAGTCCAGTTTTTGATCACACCTCAGCACTGAGAGAACATTAGTAAAGCTTTTAAATGTCGATGTGCCTGAAGCTTGTTTGTCGTTTCACTGGATCTCGACACAGCTCATCCAAACGTACTGATCCACTAGTAAAGGAGGCGGGTGTGTCTGGTACTTTCCTAGATTGGTTCAGATGGTACTCACCAGACTGTGACGACTTTGTTTCATTTGGTAATTATAATTCATCAAGGCTCTATTCTCAGGCCACTTTTCTTCTTCTACACGCGCTTCCTGGTTCAGATTGTAAACTAATCAAACATTGTTTTTACCAGCTTTGTGTCTCACCATATCACCACATATCACCATGAGCTTAAAGTCAGTGTGTCCATAATTTTAATGACTAGTAGTCAGGATTGTATCTATATTAATGCAAATCAGTAAACTGGCTGTTGGTCCCAAAAATAAAAGATTAGTGGTCAGCAATTAACTAGCGTATTGGCTAAAGATCATAGAGGGTTCAAGAAACCTCAGCATCATTTAATGACTCGGATCTAGATTTTAACAAACTGGGTTACTTTAATTGTCACTTCTGGTCTCTGTTAAAAAGTCGGTCAGCGGCAGCTCATTAAAAACGAGGCAACAATCCTGACCATCAGAGGAAAACTGAACATATCACACAAGATCACAAATCACTGCACTGGTTCCCAGTTTGTAAAAGAATAGATTTTAAAATCTTGTCTCAAAAGTATGGAAATATTTGGGCCTAGATAATTTCTGAGTTGCTATTCAAGGTTTTCATGTTATTATGCCTTAGATGTTTATTGGTTTATTTTTTTAATTTTCTTTTTTTTCTTTTCTCTTTATGCAATGATTTTGCTTTGTAGTTCTTTCTTAAATACCAAGTATGTAACTGGTAGAAAACAAACAAACAAAACAAAATCAGTTGCATTTAATTACCTAAATATAAAATTATAAGCCGAAAGGCAAATTTCACAAGCATAAAACTTCTGCAGGCTTAGGAGGAAGGCTGAATGTCTGAGGACAAATTCCTTGCCACAGGGCTTATTGCTGTCCTGCATTATAGGGTTTGAAGTTTTATTACGGCATAATAACACAGTCTAGACAACCAATCGCAGTGCAAAGACATGACACATTTCCACATGATAAAAGAAGTCACGGAAAGCTAAGGAAGAAATAAATGAATGAAGGTTTACATTTAAGACAAAAAAAAAGTGTCTAGTAGTTTAAGACCTTTGGAAAATCTGACCTCATTGAATACATTTTGGGACTAATACATTTAAGACTTTTTAACTTTTTAAGACCCTGCAGATCCCTGGCCTGCATTTAAGTGTGTGGTTGTGTGCACTGCCTGTGGTTGACGGCAGCTGCAGGAATGTGAAGGGAGCGTAAAGTTGAGGCTTACAGAACATCTGCTGGCCGTAGTAATGATGGATGTTCACACTTCTTTTTTTTTTTTTTTCCCAGAAGAGATTCTCACCTCTCTCCCTCCTTCATCCTGCCAAGTCTGTCTCCAGTCCCTTTCTTTCTACTTCCCTGCTTCCCCTCTGTAGTCCGCTCAGTTGCTTTCCAGGACGCATTAATACATCTGCCCGTATTCCTACGCGTCGCCGCTCCTAAATCCGGCGAGCCTAACTGTTTTCTTCTCCTTCACCTTTCCATCCCTCCATCCCTTCTTCTCGGCCATAAAACAATAAGTCTTGAATGTCTGTGAGGAGACTGTGCTAATGGAGCCCATTAGCCGTAATGAAATATACATTACACCATTACAGGGGACGGGGCCCGGCTAAAGCACTGCACCGCTCAAATAATAAAACATGTACAATTCAATTTCCTTCTCGGCCCGTTTTGAGTGTCTTTCAGTGAGCGGGGGTGGGTGTGTGTGGGGGGGGGGGAACGCAGGGATGACGGGATGAGGTGCACGATAGATGTGTGTGGGCGTGCTCTCGTGCGCATCCCCTCTTACGCAGATGTGGTTTTCAAGAATGTCTGAGTGCTGAGAGCTTTGAAGATTTAATAGGGGTTGACCAGATGAACCACACCTTCTACAGCGCAGTCACCCACACATTTGACCATGGTCTGACCACTCGATACCCAAACTCCCTCAGCAGCCTTTACGCTCCCCCATCCCTCCACCCACCAACCCCCGATCCCCCCCCCCCCAACTCTGTGATTTTGCGATTGTCGGACAGCTGCGGACAAATGAATCAATTGACCTCCGACACAAACGCTTGACATCACAAGTGGAGCATCTGTCGCTTCGGAGGTTTCGGGGTGGAGTAGTTATCGTATTACTCTGCTCTGTATGACTTTGCATCTCAGGCCTGAGGAAAGTAAAAATGCAACAGATAACAGTTGTAAAATGCAAACGCATGTAAGTGAGTACCTCAGCATGGTGTCTGAAATCTCTTTTCACCACAGTAGTCGGTTGCAGCTGCGTTGTCACCGATTGTTTTGTGCATCAGCAATATCGGCCAACCAGAAATGATCTCCTCAACGCACCTCTTAATTTCATCTGACAGGCAGGGAAGGAGATTGTGTTTACTTTTCTTTCCCTTTCTGGCCATTGTTGTGTCACACTCAATTTCCCACATGCATACTGATGTCTCGATCGTTGCGCTTGTAGTCCTGCTGGTTGACTGCTGACTGTAATCCTCATTTTAGAGAGGGAGACGGAGAAAAAAAGACAGACAGGGGCGAAAGAGGATAACACAGTGTCTTAACGGCGCGGCATCTCGCAGAGCCGTTTCTCCGGAAGTGTCCCATCAGTCTCCTATTTACAAGCAAAACGGTCGGAGCTTCCAGAAATTCCTCCTCCTTCTCTCGCTGCTCCGCCTTGAGTTTCCCAGATGTTCAAACATGGCCTGTTGTCTTACAGGCAGCAGAGGGATAAGTCAGTTAATTTCAAGTCTTATTCATCAGTTTGTTTGTTTATTTTATCAGTTAAGCCCCAGTGAGAAGAATCTGAGAAGAAGTGAGAAGCTTGAAAGTTAAATCACTCCTGATAAAAGTCTCCTTGGTGAAGAAGCAGAACGAATCGGATTGCTCACAGGTGAAGAAGTTGGCCGGTGGGAAAGAGGTGATGAAGGGAGGAGTTGAAGGAATATTTTTTGATTGCCATAAAGTGAGCTTCACATCCTGTACAGTTACACATTCTGCATACGCATACACACCTACATACACACACACACACACACACACACACACACACACACACCTGCATGAGCATCAAACACTTCAATCGGAAGTGTCCCAGTGCCCACTTTGACTCACATACACATGCATGCAAACTTTAAATGCACATAAACATTTAAATATATCCCCAGACACGGCCTGCACACACACACTGCGTTTCCTCCTCCTCTTGTTCAGCCCAGTATATCCAGATAAACAGGTGAGGCCTTGGTCAGGTTAAGGAGCAGACCGTGGATTTTTTTAATGTTGAGTCTCATATGTGGTTCTCTTTGCCAGCAACCCAGCATCAGATCATACACCTCTTTGGGGCAGGTTCTGGGACGCTGCAACACCCGACCTTGAGTTATGCACTCGATCACCTGCAGAGGAGGAACAAAAGAAGAAGCAGAAGCAGAGAGGTTACCTTCAGCACAAGATGGGTCATTCATTTTTTGTATTTAAAGTTTATACCTATACAAACTTAAGTTCTCATTCCCTTTTTGTCAGTTTTTAATATCTAAATACAAAACAATCTGCCAGCCTGTAAATATTTCCCCAAACCTGTCCAGACCTGTGAAAAGTTTAAACTAAAGGTTCAACTCTCTGAACACAGAAAACATCTCTTCCACTCTGAAGACAAACTTCACCCATTTCGGTAACACTTTATTTGAAGGGGGGTGAATAAGACTGACATGACACTGTCATAAACATGACATAACACGTCATGAACATGAATAAGCCTTCATGAATATTTATGACTGTTGTCATAAAGCGTCATTCGGTAAATTATGACACTTTTAATACAAAGTTGACATTATTCAAAATGACGTTGTTATGACAACTTGACATTAACCAAGAAATCATTACTGATATAAATTTGTTATAAAAGTATTACTGATTGTGCTTTAAAAATTAGGTAACTTTATGTTATTAAAGGTAAAGTTTAAACAGAAATGATTTCTTGGTTAATGTCAAGTTGTCATAACAAAGACATTTTGAATAATGTCAACTTTGTATTAAAAGTGTCATAATTTACCGAATGACGCTTTATGACAACAGTCATAAATATTCATGAAGGCTTATTCATGTTCAAGACAGGTGTTATGTCATGTTTATGAAAGTGTCATGACAGTCTTATTCACCCCCCTTCAAATAAAGTGCTACCCCAATTTCCATCTGTGCAAAGTTCACTGAACAAGATAACTCTCTAAAGTTGACACCCTGTCACAGGCGCATATAGTAGAAAAATGTTATACTGAATACATAATTCACTAAACTCTTAGCATAATGCAGAGGAGTAGCCATCAAAATGCAAACGCTATTTCCCAAAAGCAAAGTCTGCGTTTCAAACATACATTTGCATGAACTTCATTGGCACCTAATTTACTGCTTCAGCAATAATTACTGAAATACACACCAGAGAGTTAAGTTGAATAAAATAATTGATTTCTGTAGCCAAGAGGAGACTAAAGTTCTCCTCAGCACAGAAACTTATTTTTTTGTTTGCCATTTATAAATGATTGGCATTTTTGTTATTCTATGAAGTAACCAAGCTTGTTTTTATTTCCTGCAGCATTAAATGTGCTCTGTTCTTCTCATGCAGTGAATGTCACTTAATGGCTTTCATTAGATCACAAGAATCAGCTGCGTCTCGCAAATTGATATAAAAGATCTAATCTGTTTTAAAGTTATCATTTTGGTGAGCAATCAGCCGCAGAGTCCTCCCTCGTTCTGTGATTGGCATCAGATTAGATGAGGAGAAAAGTATTTGATACATAATTGAGGAGCAGAACCCTATCTGATATGTAAAAGATATCTGAGTGTCGGACTGAGGTCAGAGGTGTTGACCTTTAAAACTGCAGAGAGTTTCTGGTTCATCACAGTAAAAGGAGACTGCAGTCTGGGGTGAAGGTTAATTCTTGGATGTAACTGGAGTTGAGAGCACCATTGTCTTAACGTTAAGTTGCAATTTAGGTGAAGGCTCAAAAGTTCCAACACATATTATTTTTATTAAATCAAGTTTTAATCCAGAGGGATTCTCATTTTTGTTTTCAGTTCACCTGTAACAGTTCAGCTTTAGCTGCGTCTTACACCAAAGTCCCAGTTTTACTACCTTGAAACATAAAAATGTTGCACTGAGCAGAAGAAAGAAAGAATTCACAATCTTTCATAAAGTAAAAAAAATATTAATAGAAAAAGAAACCAAAACAATGATGATAGCTGATTTAGTCAGCTGCAATCAATGAAAATCTGAAAATCCAGATTTGCAGTGAAAGTCCATATTTTGCTGAGATATGCTCACAAAATGACATGGTCAGGTGTTGGATGTGAAATAACTTCAGGTGATTCTGACATACTGGTAAAAATCTGGATTATGTTTCCTCCAACATAGCAAGACTTAATCTGATGGTTGTGGTGCAGAAATTAGTGAGAAAACATCAGGGATCCTCTTGAAAATCTTACCAGTAGCATTTTGGCATTGCTAAAGAGATATCGTCAAAAACACATAGCGAGTAACAAGAGTGCAGATACATTATGACTTCACACTGAAATAAGACCTTCGGTGGTCTTAATGTTTCATGGAGGAATCCCAAGGTGGGAGATTAATCTTACAAGGCTGCATTTATGGATAAGTTATGCAAACCAAAGTTGTATGGCAAATGTCTTAATACTTACAAGTATTTTCCATTTAAACAATTTTACCTGTGTAATCAGAGATCGTGGACTACAAAGTAGAGTTTAGATTTTTTTTGGGTCAAGCCAAAATTATAAGCCTAATGTTCAGGTTGAGCTCAGGCTTCTGTGGCACATTTTTAAGACTGCAATAAATACAGCACAGACAAAAGTCAACGAGAATGCACAATATGATGTGGAGAAGTTAATTAGACTAACATCAAGCACACATCACAGAAAATTACTTTTTAAAACTATCACATCAAACTGATGTGCTTAAAAAGCAAATAAGTAAATAAAAGTTTAATTGAAACAATATGTCACATTTGAGTTTGGTAGTTGTGCTGATATAATTTAGTCTAGAAGCAGTATTACTTTTTATTTGATCCATACTTTAAAAAAAACACACAAAAATTCTTATGTCATTTGAAATACTACATTTCTTTGCCAGAGATTGATTACTAAGTGAAAGAAACTTTAGAAAATAAACCGTGCATGGACAACTTACAAGATGTTTTGATGTTTGTTTTAACTTGACTGCATTGTTTAGGATCGATTAGGAATGTCGGTGATCGATTTGTCTTTATGATTGACTTTGTAAACACCTTGAGATCATGTATGTGGTGAATTGGGGTTTTATAGATAAGCTAAATTGATTTCAATGTTCAGTTGGATTATGCAACAGATTATGGTCAATGGAGAGGAAAGAGCAGAGCAACAAAGGAAGGTAATTCTGTCTAAAAATGCTTTTCTTTAGGTGTTACATGCCATAGTGACAGTTTGAAGAACTTCAAAGTGATGTGGCTTACATTTGTAAAACATAAAAGGAGACACAGGCTCACATATTCATGAAATCATACCTATGAGACACTTCACCACAAAACTAATAAAATATTTAGATGTACTTCTACAGAGGGGCTGTTTCATCACACCTTGTGGCTACAACATCTCGGTCGTCATCACTTATTAAGATGATAGTGCCCCGCAAGAGAAATGTACATATCTTTTATCTATACCGACATTGTGTGGAACGTTCTGTTATCTTTAAAGGTTTCATGTCGGAGCACATTATATTCTCACTTTAGATATGTGTCTAAAAATGTGTTTAGAGCTTGATATGAAGGAGTCAAACAGACAGAAGAATGAGTGCCTTTTTCTTACCTCATTATTGGAGAGCTGGTACCAAGGCTGCTTCCCGTAGGTGAAGATCTCCCAGAGGACGACTCCTAGACTCCAAACATCGCTTTCTGTGGTGAACTTCCTGTACATGATGCTTTCAGGGGGCATCCAGCGGATTGGCAGCATGGTATGACCTCCGACCTTTAGAAAGCACAAACGCACGCAAGGAAAACAAAGTCATTCGAAAATGCATTGAGCAGACGAGAATACGACTTATATAACTAATTTAATCTTAAATGTGTAAGCCATTTATATATCAGAGTTTTTTCATTGTTTTCAAAGCAAAAAGCAATTTTACAAAGAGTCCTTGGAGTCACGTCTTTGAGACAGATGTCATGTGGATGAATGCGTATTGAACCACAGTGCATGACTACCTATTGTTGTAAACAGACAAAAGATGATTTCCTTTGCATAAAAGAGTCATTTTTAAAGAAAAATTGCTGTGTGACTGTTTATTGGCAATATGGAACAGGATGGAGTGAGACTTGTATTCTCCAAAAAGAGAGAAAGAAAGTGGAGAAAGCAAGAGTGAACTGCGATAGCAAACAGGTGCAGAGAGTGGATCTCACCTCTCTGCTGGTAATACATGTTAGCGTGAGTTTATGAAACAACCTGAAACTTGACGTTCAAAAGGAAGAAGCCAAAGTTAACGGTTGAGTCAAAATGCAAGTTAGCAGCCAGATCACAGTGGTGTTGGCGAAATTTTTCAGTCAAGTAAATATGTCGTTTTATGATGGTTTTGATGAGCGATGATTGTGTTTAATAAATAGATTAGCTGTCAGTCTCTCTGCAGTCTTCAATTAGCTGAACTAAGAACTTTTTTTCTTTTTTCTCTCAATAAATGACAGACTGTGTATCCGTATTTCGACCACCATTCCAGTCACCACTTGTGTATCTTCAACTCAAAGTGAATTTAAGTTCGAACTTGAAATGTTGTTAGCGAGAAAACTACCAAGGACGGACATTAACGAGTTTGAGTGGCGTGAAAGAGGGTGCTCATAGAATAATATCAGTAATGGAAAGCTACATTACTTCAACACATTAAACCCTATAAAAAGGACAAACAGATTATATGTAGAAAAAAATCACTGAAAGCGCTGCAAGCTTGCTTCTATAGGAGTGGCAGTACCCATCTGCCTAAAAGTAATAATGCTGGTCAGAACTGGAGCGGGAATTACACTGTCTGAATGCTGCAAGAATTTTGTTTTTGCATTTTATCACAAATGTAAAAGACTAATGGCAAACGTAAAACTTACTTTAAAACGTACTGTGTATCAAATGTTTATATATCTTGAAAACTATTCTATTCTATTCTATTCTATTCTATTCTATTCTATTCTATTCTATTCTATTCTATGCCGTCATCCTAAAGCTTTTCACATGCATCACTGTCTTGGTAGACTCTCAAATCCAGCACATTTTTAAAGCAGAGCTACAAACAGTTTACTGCTGCCCGAGGCATTTCAGTGACTTACATTTGATAGCTTGGTGAAACAGATTGCATCACTCCTGTGACTGTAGCAAGCCAAACCAGCTGAGAACTCGCTGCTTTGTACGGCGTTTCTCCAAACAAAGGGAGCATTCACACTTCAGTGTATTTGCCGGTAATCTCCTCAGGAGGGGACAGACATTTAGCCAGTAATTATAATTAGTGAGTAAATGTGAAACATTATTTGCCAATGATAAAATGTGGGAACCAGTATGTGGGAGACAGTAAGCAGTCAGCAGCTATGCACTGTAAATTGTTCCAGTGGATTTGCAGGCAGCTATTTAATTATATGCTTTAAGTTGTACTCAGGAATAAGAAGATGCAGCGGTTGATGAGGAGCAGAAATGACGGGCTCTCTGTGAGACAGCCGGTCATTTTATTATGCTCTAATCTGAACTCTGCCGGTCGAGTCTGTAACGTTGTCAAATTCATTAGCAGTTTTTACTGTTCATAAAGACTGACAGTTCATTTGCACTGAGACTTCACACACTGCTGTCAAAGGCTTGGGCTGGCTGAAGATCATTATTGTTTACTGCTCAGCTAACGATAAAAGGTATGACAATGGCTAAATTTTATGGATAAACTCACATGTTTCTATTTAATTGTTGAATTCATCTACAAAGAAACAATCACTTCCTCCATCTCTAGATAACCATTTATGGATGTCTGTGTTGCTGTATGATGTAAATAGAAACTGAAAACAAAAACATTCAAACACAGTCCTTCCATCAGATAGGCAAATGTTTTACATCCCTTTTAGAGCACTAAATGCACTTTTCTTCTATCTGAATCCAAGTCATGTAACCAGGAAGAAGTCAAACATGTTTCAACGCCTGATGTTTGACAGAGATACCCCAAAGCGCAACAAGCTATCTCGCGACACAAACACATTATTCGCTCTGCTGATTGTGATCTGCATGACTGAGAGTTAATCTGCCCTGAGTTTCAGCAGATTTAAGCAGGGCTGGATCACACAGGATTCATGTCGGCTTGTTCAACACGATTCAGAGGGAAAGGGCAAGAATGGTGAAAGAAACAGACGGGAAATAAGAACAAGATAGAGAGGTCTTAAATATTTTCAAATGGTTTAGCAGCTCAACTAAAGCTTCACCCCAAACTGCAGAACTGAAATGCAGCAGTCTTTTTAAAAAAGCTATCATCAAAGGTACGTTGGGGTTGGCTTCGGTATAAAAAAATGTTAATTTGTGGAAACAGAATGCACACAATCAAAGTTTTTAGAATAATCATTAAACATTTATCTAGAACGTTTAGTTCTGTCTTATTAATAATTCAGTCAAATGGTCTTGAAAAAGATAAAACTAGATTTTTTTAAATTACATGATTCATTCTTATCTGATATTGCCCACATATTCAAATTGATAAATACTGTATCCCATATTTAAACTATCAACATTTCTTTTGTTTAAAACAGGCATCGCTATTTATATATCACTGGTGTTACTGTTTGCAACACTTTAGATGGAAAGTTACAAGAAAAGTTTCCTCTGGTACAAGAAAAACATGCTATGTGAGTTTCATCCAGAGGACAAGAGGATTTTGAGGAGCGTCACATTCTGTCAGGTCTGTGAATAATGTCCAAGCTGCTGTTTTGAATAGTTCATGTCTACTGGGATCAAAGTTGTGGAATTTAGTGGAGTCATGTTTATTTATTTCCACATTTAGGGATCAAAGAACCATCTGGAAGTAAAATATCGATCCTCTATAGGGGTAAAGTATAATTTTTCAACAAGTCTAGAAAATGTGATAGCCAAATCACACAGGATTCAGTAAGGAGATTCCTCAGCAACCATTTATTATGACATCATTTTTTCCCCCATAAACAACTAAGATGAGTTTAGTAAAGGCATTTTCAGTCTTTTTCCAACTTCTGCAATGAAATGTCTGCAATTATACTGACTCATACTAATTGGCCAATAAAGCAGCAGTGACTAAATATGTTCGCTGCAGCTATTTTTGAAATTCTTTTGTAGGAAAGCTAAGTATCTTTGACCTTTTTTCTCCCCCTCAGTGCTGTGTGCTAATGTTCTCCCTCACTGAACCTCTCCTCTTCTTTCAGTCTGTCCTCCAAACATGAATCTACCAACAGAACCGTGCTTCACTGCCCTGCGCAGATAGCACAGTACATTTTCTGAAGTTTATGCCTGTTATTAATGGTCTGTCACTCTTCTATTTTAGTGAGTGGGTTATTTAATGCAGTCATAAAATGTGTGTAGTCACATAGATAGCCATCAGGCTCAGTTTTACATGGGAGGAAACATATCTTCCGGCACCTTGGCAGTTTCTACACTTCATAACCCGGCCTGGCTCTTTCTGACGGTGATGCTTTACGGTCTCCTCCGTATTTGTTTGTTTATATAATAAATAGCTCAGATTATTTGAGTCCCACACATAAAGCATTTTCTTTCTTCAAATGTGAGCTGGATGCATTTTCTGTGACTAAGATGGTCGTCCGACTCAATTTTCAATTAATAACTTCACGGCTAAAAGGACACACACAGTCCCTTTTCCGTTCACCCAGACTTTTGCAACATCAAAGTGAAGGCACTAATGTTATTTTTACAGTTAACAAGTAAGAAAGAAGATATTGCTTCAAATTCAACTTAAATTTAGAACTACGGACAAAATAAAGGCATTTGAAGTTCTATACATTCTGCAGTTTCTCTTCAGGTTTACAGTCAGTCCTATTCCAACTGGACAATAATCACAAACAAGCATTAAAACTGGTTAAAACACTAATGGTTAGCCACTAGTGTTTTTGTTTTGTTTATCATGGCTGATCATTTCCTCTGATGGTTTGAAATAATATTGAACTGCTGAGCCGCAGTTTTTTTTCATGCTTGTTAAATGTGGTTCAGATATGTAACCCACACGGACCTGAAACTCCAAACCGATGATCAGAATTAAAGAAGCTTTGCATTTAAGAAGCAAAGGGTCAATTGTCTCCTCAGGATATTCCTTGCATAGACAACAAAAAGAGAAGTGATGGACAGTCTTCTGTGAAAAGCTACAAAATGGTAGAATTAAAAAAAAGAAAACAACATTGAAAAAAAGGGAAGCCACAGATTAATAGATTTTGTCCATTGGGAGACGAAGGACATCAAATACTGAGCAAACTGTGGTTGCAGTGATGCAGTCTGAAGACCAAGTGTTTGCAAGGACATCTCCCTGCACGTGAGCTGCTTTGTTGTTGATCTCTGCCTCCTCCCCTCCTTTGTTTTCAGTTCCCTTCCTCGCTCTCACCTTCCTTCAGCCCACCTGCCATTCCCTCCAACACACTGTTTCATAAATATTCAGCAGCTCAGCCAGACCTCTGGCCAGAGTTCCAGGAAACCCCAAAAAAGGTAGAAAAAACCCCAGATCAAGCATTGATTCTGGACTGCAACTTCCCTATGGCTACGGTACCCATGGTGACAGGGTGAAGTATTATGGGATGTGTTGTCATGGGGACCTATGAAACTTACCCTACTCACTGTTGTACAGGAAATTGAATCTTTTTCATCTTATTTTTTGCCATGAACAAAAATACAACTCAGTGATTCTTGAGAATAGGGACAAAATGGGTTTTAATT